GGCGGACACACAGATGCCCAAACGAACTTGGATCGGTCTATTAAAAGCTGGATGTATGTCAAGTCCCTCTGATCGTTGCATACAGAATCATTCTCCGAATCTGTCGGTGTAATAAAAGTTGAATCTATCTCAAGTCCTTTTGCGTGTTGCATACATTCACAAAACTCTCGTGGCTCGAGTGATGTTTGGTATAAAAATATAAATAAACGTAACTTTTCTCGTTATATGAATATTAGCCATATTCCTAGCCATTGTTGTCTATTCCCACCCCTTGCGTAAAAAAAGGCGAAATACTTAAAACTTTTAACACTACTAAATGATAACTTGACATCTTTGGCTTAAATCTCGTTAATGACGACGTATAATAATGCTGCCTGACCGTAGTAATCACTTATGTCAACAGCCAAATAAAGATGATAAAAATGGTTTGTGTGCCATCAATGACTATGATCAATCGGTAAGTGTTAGACATTTACAAACTGAGCACTCGCTATAGGTATGACCAAAGTAGAATCTACCGGGCTTGAGATTTGAACAGACTTTGTAGTCGCGATTCTTATTTATCAGGCTGCTGATGCTCCTAAGGAATTCCTTGAGCAATCAAAGGCAATATAAAAGGACTATTGGGCATGGCAAAACTTTGGGTTGTCCCAGAAATTGGTTTTCCGAACAAAACCATAACGCAGCAAAGCTCATCAAATTAGGACAAAATGCTAAAATATATTCCTTTCGATATTCACACTGCCGTAAGTCGCATGAAATTGCCTATAACTTAAACTACCGCTTACTGCATAAAGTTTAATAACACTAACGCCCAAAAAGGTTTTGACATACATATCCGGAAAATGTGAATACTAAAATTTCGTAACCTCATGTGTGATTTCATCGTTATGTTCTTCCACAAGCATTATTGATAGAAAACTATATTTTGAAAGCAAAACAACTTTTAAAAATTTTTCTTTAGCTGCAAATGGAATGCAGTGCCATTCCACTAATGCTTCCTATTTATTTCAAAAGGATAAATTTTATGACACGTCCTATGACACCAACGATAATCATATACAATATGGGCGAAGGGCAGGTGTTTTCAAATTTTCGTTTATGTGGAAAGCCAAGGGTGCCAAAGGCTTAGAGGAACATGTTAATCAGTTCTTTAAAATGTCTGAATTATTAACGGCTGCTATACGGAGCAAGCCAGTTTCGAACTAATCGTAGATCAGCCGGAATGAACAAATGCTAGTTTCTGGCATGTGCCAACAAGTTTAAGAAATATGGAACGCAATGAAGCATTTACCATAAAACTTCACAGAATTCCCAAACACCCAAATTCAAATTTCAAAATTCGTGCTTAACGGAAACGGACATGTTACGGATATCTTTTAGGTGAAATTGAAACGTTAGGAAATAAACTGTAAAATAATAGAAAAAGGTGGAGGAAAACCTTAGACAATGAACATTTTAAAGTATTTGCTCACAACAAAAATGGAATTAATCGGCCCGATTGATGCTTTAACAATTCACTGATAATTTAGAGATTTTTGTAAATATTTTAGAGCTATTGGTGACTATTTAAAAATCGCCAAAAATGAAATGTAATAGCTTTACCTCACATTACTCTTATCGAAGTACATGGCCACGTGAGCAAGGATCTAGTTTTGGTTAAAAAAAAGTGCATATTTCAAAAAAGGTTTTGTAACTGTTAAGTTGTTAGATAATATGGTAACTATAAAAGAGAAAATTTACTTGTAAGTTTTCAATTCTGATTCCACTCAACTTTAAAAAGTTCTCTTCGTGATTGTCTAATTAAAAAAAAAATAAATAAATAAACAGCAAAGCTTTGGTAGAAAACCCTGACCTTACCGAACAACAAATCTAATAAAATCAAAGTCTTTATGCATTTATAATATATATAATCTTGTATATATCCTTCCATTTTCACATAAGCCGGAGCATGCGATATTTCTATAAATAATATAATTGTTGGAAAAAGCTATAATTAAAAATGTTATAAGAAAGGTTATTAAGAATTCTTTAGAAAAATATTACAAGAGAAGAAATAAATCGTTTATCTTAAAGACGGATTTCCCCTTATCTTATTTATTTGCATTATATTCTTTATATTGCACATACGCAAAGAAATTTGCTTACTCCTTTCAAAACAATAAACTCTCAGAGACATAGAAAGAGAAATTTAATTTCACAAGCAAAATACACGAGTAAAGAGAGAATAATTTTACAATACTCATATGCATGAGAGACGGAGAGAAGTGCTTCTCTTCAGCTTCATGCGCATTTAAATGAAAATACGAGTGCAATCAAAGTTAAATGCGATAGAGAATGAGTCTGCATATGTATAAAAGGTAAGTGCAGATTGCTACTGTTTTGCAAATATTCTGCATTGAATACAATTACGTTTAAATTATAATAAATGCAAATTCAATTTTAATGTAAATGTAGAAATGTAAACAATACAATACAATATATATATATATATATATATATATATATGCATATATATATAATACAACATATTTATATATAGAGAGAAGAGTTAGTATATAAAAGGAAAATAAGAACTTGCGTATTCCCCTCAAGAAGATCATTACAATAACTCAAATAAGCTTTTTTTGTGAAAAAAGGAGATAAGCAAATATATATATATGTATTTGCATTTATGTACATGTGCAAAGAGGAGCACTGCACTTAGGTTGTACGTTGTTGTACGTTCGCGGTCTGCTTTCTGCGTTTGCTTTTCATTTTGTATATACTTATACAATACATTTATTCGCATACACAGCAAGAATTGTACAAACTTAGTGCGTCGCATTCATCACAATTACCGCGTACGGCTAAGGTCGTTGTGCCTCGTCATCGCCGTTTATCGTTGATTATTTCATTTTCATACGTGCTCTTCGCTTTTGCATTGGAGAATATTTCGCGCGTGTGTGTATGTGTGTTTGTGCATCCATACACAATTACGTGTTTTTATATTTATGCATGAACGTAATATATAAAGTCATAGCTGTTTCGGTTTCCCCATAGTTCTATACTCACTACGCACTCCACTCCACTGTTATATGGAGCGCAGAAATGCTTGCATTGTACTCGTGCATACTTTACACAATTTGCGAAAATGTCTGGTTATCGTTCAGTTTCGGCTAATGTCGCGTTCCTCTACAGCGTCGGACCCGTCGTCCTCCTTGTTATCAATAAACCCAATCAAAGCTGCATCACTAACAGACGGAGAGGCAAACAGGCGGCGGTAGACTATTATTACATGTGTATTTCTTCTATATTATTTTAATTTTGTTTTTTATATTGTTTTCCTTTCAACTGTTAAATATATATACACTATATATATACATGTATAATTGGGTGATTCCATCTCCATGTATTTTTGTATATTTGCCAGTTGTACTAATAAAGAGGCAAATGTGGGGGGATATATTGTCTGTTGCATGCACTTAGCATTGCACATTCTCACAATGCCTACATATAATAATCAGCATTGCCTGACCGCCCACTAGACTCAGTCGTTTTCATTTTTACGAAATACTGCCTGACATCGCACACTGCCATTGCCAACCAAATAACATGAAGTGTACTTGGGATAACTCATTTCTGTTTAGCTCAACTCAATCTCAGCAGCATCTCTTATGTGTGTATTTATTCTTCCTCTTCTTCCTTTTCTTCTTCTTCTTCTTTTTCTTTTTCTTCTTCATTTTTATTGGAACCTATATAGACACTCATCAGAAATATGTGTTGGATTTCGGTTTGTGCGTGTATCTGTAAAGTTCTTGGTCGTCCGTTTGATATCGATGCATGCACTTCTTCGTCGTTGTGTTATTTGATGTCATTTCCTCAATTGCTCCAGTACGGAATTCATACACAGCATAAAACTTTTTAGTATTTTATTCTATGTGCATATACGCATAAGTATTCAGGTGTGCATTCGTATATGTGCGAATTTTTTTTTTCCTTCTTTGCGAGCGTTGTGTGTCCCTGTGTATGTGTATGTGTATGTGTGTGTGTGTGTGTGCATGTGTGTTTAATTCTGTTGATATTATTGCTGTATTTTGCTCTGCAAAATACCCTGGAGAACTGGCTTTCTGTACGAATTATGAACTGTTTAAATGAAAAGCCGCCGTCAATAAGTGCAACGCGCGATGATACTACTACATAAAAAGAATTAAGAAAAAAGAAAGGAAATTAAATAAATATTACAAATTTTAAAAATAAATTTGCAAAAAAAAAAAAAAAAAAAAAACAAAAAAAATGGAAAAAAAAAACAATGAAATGTTTTGTCTTGCATCTTGTATTTCCTTAAATAAATACGATTTATTAATCGTCCGATAAACGTTTTGCTTTTGATTTTGAAGGAAAAATTAAATAAGAAATAAAGAAAACAAACTACTGCTGCCTACAATATAAATTTTTCATCAGACATTAATAAAATGTGTATTATATTTGTGTGAATGATGGATGCAGGCATGTGTATGTGTGCGAACGTGTGCGTTTTTATGTTTATGTAGGTGTTTGCGTGAGTGAGCTTGGATAGACGTATGCTTGCGGAAATAATAACAAAGAAATTTCCAGTAAGTTTTTAATTACACGTTATACAATTCTGTTGCCAGGTAAGCGAATGTTTTCATATAAAACACAAGAAGAAATAAACGAAATAAAGTTAAAAAATGGAAATTGATACATTTTTTTGTTGAAAATATCCTTTACTGGCAACATACCGACGGCTTAGGCTCTGATAACCGATATCTCTGTAGAGTGGAGTGGAGTTCTCTATCCCCATAGAGGGAGAGAAAAGCTTTCAAATTCAAAAAATCATACTTCATAATTGTTTTACTCAGTAATTTAATTTTTAGAATTAATTAAATAACCGAGCAGTCGCTACTAATGTAGACAAATTCATTTCTATTTAAATTGGTTGCTAATTATTTTTCTAAAAAGTTCCCTTCAAAGACACTTTAGTTTATCAGGTTACAAAGTTATTTTTTTTTGTTGTTGTTATTGTGTTCTTTCTTCTATAAGAGATTTACATGTTTCTATGCCGATTTCAACACGAGGGTAAGGGTAGAGCGTGGCTTAACTGAAGACACATACAAGTTTCATATTTCCTATGGAAGCGGCAAAGTTCTGACTTCAAATAGTAATGAATAGTAAAAAAAAAAAAAGAAAGAAAAAACCGTGTAAATACAAAAATGAGCTAAGCTTCGAAACTGAATTTACGTAACGAAAAAGTCGCATTTACCCGCTCGTGCTCTAAAAGACGAAGCCTTAACCTTTGCAGGCATACGAATACGTTCACTTTTACCTACTGTTTGTCGTAGGTTAGCATTGGCTGGGTACGCTTCGTTCCTTTTACTTGTTAATTAGAGCGAAACGAATCATATTTTCTGGCAAAACTTTAATTTTAGGATTTAATTGGAATGACACTCTTTACAATTCTCTCTCTCTCTCTCTCTATATCTCTTCTAATATATGAAGTTGAGGGATTAACCGATTTAAATGAAAATGGATTATTGTGATCACCTTAGGCTTACCAAGCACTACTACTATTTTTACTATACAAAATTGTGAAAAGGGCTTACTTTTTCTATTTTATAAATGAAACTACGACGTATTGGGTTACCCAAGCTGTGTAATTTACAATCGTTTTTCAATTTCGTAACGCTTCTGCTCATACTCTTCTTCTGTCCTTTTAGAGGGTTTGCATATAATGCCATACCTTTTACCACAGCTTCTTACTCATATTCAACTAAGCAGTATTCCTACTGACTGTATTAAGCAGCTTTTCGCGCAGATTGTAGTTCACAAACATCTTTGTGCCAACGTCTTAAGTTACGATCGCTTATCTGGCGTTTTCTTTAAATTCCTTACAACTCTTTAAATAATTGCTCTTGGAGATTTCAATTTTGATGCCCTGGACATGAGATTACATTAATCCGTCAAATTTTCCAAGCTTTCGAATCGTCATTTGTTTTTGTTTCCTATTGGAAAAGTTTTGGATTTAGATATACATATGAGAAGATTTATAATGGTCCGATTTTTGGGAACATAATGATTGTACCTGTTCTATGAGCATAATACGCATACACGTTGTTTGGTGGTTTTCATTAAGAGCAACCCTTGCCGTACTTTCCTTTTGAACGGATCGATTTTTTTCTTTTTTGAGAACACATAACCTTTCAATATTGTTTTAAAAATTCTTATATCAATGTATAAAAGAAGTAATAATTTTAACGACAACAACAGCAACACCGATAATTATAACAACAATAATAATAATAATAATGCGGCCTGTATTCACATCATAACTAAATTTTTCACTTTTGATATGAAGTGGCATTAGAAAGAAAGTTGGGCATTATGGTTAATGTGGTTTCTTGCCCGCTAAGGTGTAGTTACATGCAGTTATTGTTTGATGCTGTATTCATTCCAATTCGAAGTAGCAAGGACTTACCAATCTGACACACACTGTCCGACGCATAACTCAACGCAATTGATTTGGACATGGTAAGACTAAAGGTCTTATGATAGCTTATATAAGTGATCATAACACCAACCTTCCTTGCTAAACATGAAAAAACGCATTCCAAATATTTATCTGGCTAAATGGCATTAGCATTGTCAACCGCAATAGTGACGATATCTCCCCTTGTTTAGTGCTCTACGAGAAGAAAGAGGGAAAAACAATTAAAAAATTTCGTAAACAAACTGAATATGGATAAGTAATAGTTTTCCCTTTGCGTCCATCATCTAAGGCGTATGTAAAAAGGTTGTTTGAGAATGCACAAGTGGTGTCATTTTTTTAGGGGATTTCTGCAATATATCGTTGCGGAGATTGTAGAAACTTTTGTTTTTCGCAGACCCATAGGAACAATGAGTGAAACTATTGATTTAATTGATTCCTACCATCCTTTGACGATTACAGACAGTAGAGAAAAGCTTTTCTTTTTCCGAAATTCGACAACATTAACCAATATAATCTCCGTCAAGAACATTGCAATCAGTGTAACAATTCCCTGACATCTTTTTAAGGAAATTGCTGCAGATACTCAAAGTGTGCTCCAGTTTTTACAGTGAACAGCTTGTAAGTTTGGATTACATTTTAATATTAATCAACATATGACAAGCATTGCAAGTTAGACATGGAGGTCATAGTAGGTGCAGTGGCAAATCGCGGTCCATTCATCTAATTTTATCGTTGTAGCCATCAACTCACGATTCGGTGCTTTTAGTTCACTACAAGCGTGAACGTCAATGTCTTCTCGATCAGCTCCCTTTCGTCTAAATCTCGGTTCAATATGATTCACTCGTCCTTAGGACACGTTCATACCCTCTACTGTCATCTCTCCAACTTTATTTTGACAATCGTCCACGACCGCTTTGTGAACTTCGGCGACATTTTCATTAGTAATTATAGTCTTTGACTTTCTGGAACGGACCATGTAAAATTTCACCGGGGTCTACGACGGGGCAGAGTCTTCATACAAAGCGTAGTAGTTCAACTCGTATATAGCTTATATGAGGCATATTGTCCGATATTGTCAATATAAGATATTAAAGACCTCACGCGTGTGCAAGCGAAAGATCAACTACTCACATAGTCTTTATACTTTGACTTAGAGCCCTACTCCGAGCAATATTCACCATAAAATTTTCCGATATTAACTGTATTGTAAGGCAAAGCTGTTTAGTCACGAAAACTGCAAACAAAAAATGCTTTGGGATTAATAACATCTCTCTCTCTCTCTCTCAGGATAGATTTGTTAGAATATATTGGTCGAGACTATTTACCTTCTACATCTCCGCACAGTTTCGGTAAAGTTTGGGAATTTCGCCTAATCGGACAGACATCAACCTTTTCGCCATAGACAATGCTTTCGTGAGCGAATCTGAAAATTGCAAAGACTGAATCGCTTGATGGCCAAGATCGGTTTGTTTTAGGAAAATGCATATATATAATGGTGATTGCGCAGATAGCTATAGACAGTATGAAACTTCTATTTTTTGAAAAAGATTTGCGAATGGGATTAAACCGTTTTCTTTTAATTATATGACTATCATCACGGCCACCAAACCTTCGGTTCGAATCGTTGTAAACACTCAGAAAATTGCCTTAAGGTCCCGTTTGTAATTCATTAGAGCCGCAGCACGCTTGTCTGCTGCAGTATACATCACTAGTGATTAATTCCTTTCTTTTTGTTACTCTGCCCTTTACTTGCGACATATGTACGTATGTGCATATACATATATCTTTTTGTATAATTAAGTATATTTGTAATTGTTGAAATTATCTTAAATATTAAGAAAAAAAAAAAAAAAAACAAAAAAATAAAAAGACAACGACGATCATTTTTATTACTAAATGAAGAAAACTTATCTGGTATAGCATGTCATCATGGTACAACCGGTTAAGTGAACAAAAATTAAAAAAAAAGAGGAAAGCAAAAATATCACCTCTCTTTTGTTGGATGTCTTTGATGCAGAAAGCATCTTTATGCCAACACATATAAACAGATGTGTTTATGCACATATATATTCATATATATATATATATATATATATATATATATATATATATTCACAAGTTAACATGGCATTGCTTTAACAAATAAATCTGTTTTTTCGCTCTGCTCTTCTTCATCTTCTTCTTCTTGTTACTTTTTGTAATACTGTTGTGTGTTGTGTGCCTTTGTTGTCTATAATCCTCAATTACCATGTTTTTTTTATTTTTTTTTTATCTATCCATTGGGTCCATATATATGTATGTATGCAGTCACTTGCACGCTTACATGAAGAGCTGCTAAAGTATATTCACTTTTTTTTTTTTGAATTTTTTTCCCTTATTCAAGTTGTTTGGTCGTTTTGGGATATTGATGCAGCCACAGTTTCTTTCTCAGGTTCGTTCAGTTCCTGGCATGCTTTTAATTTGCAATTACCGACGGGAACATGTAACCAGCAAATGTACAATAAATCATGGTGGGAGCAAGTAACAAACAACAACGTTAAAAGAGGAATTCACAAAAAAAAAAAAAGAAAGAAAGGCAGAATTGTAATAAAAAAAGAAAACGCGTAATATCAACAATAACAACAACAATAAAAAAAAAAAAAAACGACAACAACTATAATAAGATGCAATATTTTTTATAAGCGCAAAAAACAAAAAAAAAAAAAAAACAAGTAAAACAAAGTGTTGTCGTCGCGTAATTTCGAATAAGAAAAATTCATACACAGCAATCAAACAAACAAACACATGTATCACCATAGAGATGTATATATGCATGTATGGATGTAGTGTATTTGTATAGGCATATGTGTGCGATGCACTGTAGTAGAATTGAAAAATAATCGTAAAAGCTGAAAAAGAAAGAAAACGACAGATTCGTACACATGCACTCACATAGACAGTAAGCAGAGAGACAACTGTGAAAATGATTTTATTTTGCAAGTATTTGACTATGAAATGTAAATGGAATTTGGTCAGTGGCGGGGTCAGGCGAAGGCAAAATCTATGGAGAAAAGTTGGGAATAAATAGGCTCACATCACGTATACATATCTAGAAGACTAACGTGCTTATATGCAGTTATATAAGCAAAAATAAGAAAAAAAACAAAAAAAAAAAACACACACACACACACACACTAATAAATATATATATATATATACATATAAATATATATATATATATATATATACACGTGTACATAGATGAAACAACTCTGGGTGCTTAGGTTCTCTTCTTTCTAAAGAAAAAAAAAAAAAATAAAGAAAAGAAAAAAACAAAATGAATTAAATCATGAGAAATATACTCGTTATAGTGTATCATGTGTGTATTGTGATTGATATTCTTACTGTATACTACTCATACTTTGGACATTTGCCTACGTATGTTCGTGTGTTCCTAAACGTTTAACATATGCAATTGAGTGTAATGTGTGTTGTTTGTTTATTTAACGAAAAAATAATTCTCTCCAATCGCAT